CCTGGACACCCATATGTCCTATCAGTCAGTATCTATGCTGCCTTGCAATGGTGGTTAATAGCTTATTGCATGTATGTCAGGCTTCTATGATGAGATTGTAAGTCTTTAAAAGCAGGGGTTATGTTTTCTTTTTCTCTGTGTGCCCAAAACACTGTAATTCATTGTAAACATGCAATAAAAGCTCCTTGAATTGAATTAAAGACAGTAATCTTAGCGGCATGGACAAAGGCAGGGAGAGAAGGTCAGGTATAGAGAGGTTTAACTTTAAAGGAGGGCTTAATATCTTTTCATAAGTGTCAAAAATAGCCTTCATGTACTCATCTTGTTTTAAAATGTGTGTCAATATTACACTTTAAAAGCTTTAAATCTGTAGGAAAAAGAATATTATGTTGAAACATAGATCTTCTGTAATTGCTGAATCCTCACCCAGCCCTTGATCTCTTTGCTGAGTGGTCCCAAGTTTGACACTCTGAAAGTGACATACACTGCTCCCTACGGCCTCAAACACATCTCTGATCTCACACTTGGGCATAACCCAATCCCTGGGATGACCATCACAACTCCCCACTGCCCCACCATCTCAGAGGAGGTAGGTTTCTTCTCCTTAAGAAAAGCATGCGGGCTGGGCGTGGTGGCTCAAGCCTGTAATCCCAGCACTTTGGGAGGCCAAGGCAGGTGGCTCACGAGGTCAAGAGATCGAGACCATCCTGGTCAACATGGTGAAACCCGGTCTCTACTAAAAATACAAAAAATTAGCTGGGCATGGTGGCGCATGCCTGTAATCCCAGCTACTCAGGAGGCTGAGGCAGGAGAATCGCCTGAACCCAGGAGGCAGAGGTTGCAGTGAGCCGAGATCGTGCCATTGCACTCCAGCCTGGATAACAAGAGTGAAACTCCATCGCAAAAAAAAAAAAAAAAAGAAAAGAAAAGAAAAGAAAAGAAAAGCATGGAGGCCGGGCGCGGTGGCTCAAGCCTGTAATCCCAGCACTTTGGGAGGCCGAGGCGGGTGGATCACGAGGTCAAGAGATTGAGACCATCCAGGTCAACATGGTGAAACCCCGTCTCTACTAAAAATACAAAAAAATTAGCTGGGCATGGTGGCGCGTGCCTGTAATCCCAGCTACTCAGGAGGCTGAGGCAGGAGAATTGCCTGAACCCAGGAGGCAGAGGTTGCGGTGAGCCGAGATCGCCCCATTGCACTCCAGCCTAGGTAACAAGAGCGAAACTCCGTCTCAAAAAAAAAGAAAGAAAAGCATGGGGCTGATGAGAGTATCCCAGTGCCTGAGTCCTCCTATGCCTTAGGAAGGCCTTGGAATCCTCTCTGATCCTTAACATTCACCCTCATCTATTGAAACAACTGTTTGCATTACGTGTCTACTTAGTGTCCTGACAATAGTCTAAATTCAATCCATCCAAAAGCAAATCAACATCTTCCCCAAAGTTGTTCCTCCTTTTTTTAAAGGTAATAGCTGCCACTATGATCCAATCATCCAGGCTTGAAGCCTGAGTCATCTTTGACTCAGAACAACACGGTGCTGTAATTTTTTATTTTTATTTTTTTTTGAGATGGAGTTTCGCTCTTGTTACCCAGGCTGGAGTGCAATGGCACAATCTCGGCTCACTGCAGTCTCCACCTCCTGAGTAGCTGGGATTACAGGCATGCGCCACGATGCCCAGGTAATTTTTTGTATTTTTAGTAGAGAGGGGGTTTCACCATGTTGACCAGGATGGTCTCCATCTCTTGACCTCGTGATCCACCTGCCTTGGCCTCCCAATAAAAAAAAATTTTTAAGCCATTTGCCTCCTTCCCCCGAATATATGATTTATACTCAGACTCTGTCTCTCAATTTCTTAAAATGTTTCTGAGATCTGTCCCTTCCTGTCTATTCCCCCTGATAAGGCTCTGGATTTTGGTACCGACCCCTGAACTACTCTCTTTTCCTGCTGGTTTGAATAGGGAGAGAAGCAAAAGAAAACTGGAAAGTGTAACTAGAAGTCTCTAAAATCCTAACCGTTAACCTTACCCTTGCCAAAAGAGACACATGAATTGTCCTACTAGCAGCTAACAGATGAGTTTAACCAACATTTAAGAATTGCCAACTAAATGTCATACATGTGGCCCTGTGTGAGGTGCTAGGCCACAGCAGTAAGACTTCAACAGCCCTCAAGTGCCTAACCAGGGATGAGAGCTGAGGGGGGTGGTTCCAGAGGACTCTGCGAGTGTCCTGAAGGGGACTGGTCAATGCTGAGGGCGAGGTAAAGGCCAGGAGAGTGTGGGTGGGCAGAGGACAGGTGTACTGGGTTTGAGGGATGATAGGATTTCAGGCCTGAGGGCTGAGGGGTGGAGGGCATTTCCAGGGTATTAAGCAAAGGCTCGGTTTACAGGCTGAACTAATCTGATTTGTGTGCTGTGTCCTGGGCTCCCCCATGGCAGTCACACAATCATGTGACAATTGGTGATCATGTGTTGGATAAGGACACTTTCAGGAAGGGTGATATCAGAGAAGTGAACCAACATTCTGAATGTGACATACACTGCTCCCCACACTCTCATAATTGCCAGGTAAATTTCTGAGCAGGAGCCACATATCAGTGCATGAATTCAATGACAGTGATCAGAAGTGAAACTGCTGACAGCATTGTTTTCACTTCTACCTTAAGGTTTGTGTGGGTGTGTACAGGAAACCAGGGTATCAAGAATAGAAAGAGAAGAGGCACCAAACTTTGGAGCTGAACTCAATTCCCCTCTCCAGGCAATTCTTCTTTCCAGGGCCTCTCACTGGTTTTTGCCCTCCTTTCATTGCCATCACCTGGTCCTGGGCCTGGGCATCTCACAGACCCATGGAGCACTTCAGTGACCTCAACTGCACTCGGTTTTGTTCTCTCAAGCCCCTCAGAACATGAATATTTATGAAACAGCTACACTCTGCCAGGTGCCCGTATGCAAGCACTGCTGTGAGTGCACCGTTTCCCTGCTGGCTTCACTTTGTCTTTTGACTAGAGCTCAGATTCCATAGCTGATCACCAAGAGTCTTTTCTTCCACCTGGACTGCTCAAAGGCACAGCTCAAAGGCAACTTCTCCATGAACCCTTCCTGATCTCAGCACATCTGAGATCTAGGAAGTAACATTTGCTGAACTTCTGGAGCTCAGGTAGTGGTTTCAACCACTCATGTCCCACTTTTCACAGCTGACTGGCAGAGTGTTTATCTGTGTAGGCGTCAGGTGTCCAGTTTCACTTTGAACCGTGTACGAGCCACAAGACACCTATTTACACAGCAGACTGAGGAATCTTCTGGGAAAAAATTAATCACCAGAAGAGTCAGGTCCAGGGATCTTGACTCAGTAAGGCCTTGGTGAGGAAGGGAGGGGGCCTATCATTCATATGTCTCCTTTCTAGATCTTGAGCTCTTTGAGGGCAGAGAGTAAGAATGAGTCACGTGAAGTATGTAGTCTCCAGTATGGGGTTTGACGGCCGTGGATATTCAGTAAGTATTCATGAGATAAAAGAACATTTGCTGTCCTCTTCTTAGAGCAAATATGACTGCCTAACAGACTTTATTGCTGAACATATTAAGTTATAGCCTACAGATTTTCTTTACACGTGTAGAACTCTAGTGTGGAGTTAATGTAAGAGGTCCACAAATCTATGTCATATCAAGCATTCCTACAGACTAAATAATATGCTTTATACATATACGTAATGCTATTTTTCAAATATATAAAAACACTATTGGTTAATTTTTAAAACCTACATATTTGTCTAAAAATCTTATTGTAATCCAAATGTTTTATGCCGTACATACACCATTAGATAATAAAATCACAACTTCTACAATGTAAAGTCTGATTCTTTGGCGGGGAAAAGGGATTAAAAGAGGTTCTCATCTTGAGAAACCACTGTTATATGCAATAGGTGTGTAATGACAGCCCTGCCTTGGTGATCCTCCAGGTTGGGGAGTGGCACCACATCCAGGTAATGTTGAATCTCAATTTACAGTGTACAGCGTACCTTTTTATTTTTTTGAAATGGAGTCTTGCTCTGTCGCCCAGGCTGGAATGCAATGGCGTGATCTCAGCTCACGGCACCCTCTGCATTGCAGGTCCTTGAAGCAATTTTCCCACCTCAGCCTCTCAAGTAGTTGGGATTATAGGCTCCCGCCATAGCACCCAGCTAAATTTTGTATTTTTTTGGTAGAGATGGCTTTCATCATGTTGGTCAGGCTGGTCTCGAATTCCTGACCTCAGGTGATCTACCTGCCTCGGCCTCCCAAAGCACCAGGATTACATACATCAGATATTAAATCACAATATTTGTTGTGCCACCATGCCTGGCCCAGTGTACTTTTTGTTTGTTTATTGCTTCAGTTACTCTCCACACTGGTCCTTTAGGGTTGACAAGAAAGCTATTGAATCTCTCAAGTTGACAAAAACCTTCTATTGTGAAATGTACATCAAAAAGACAGAATAAATATGCAATATAATTTTAGAGAAATGAGAAAAGAATGTAAGAGCCATATGGCACACAATGAAAAGTTCTACCAAGCACGTAATTGGAATCTTAAAAGGAGAAGAAAGAGTGAGGACTGCCTAGCTGAGCCCAGTCAGGCCGCACATTCATGAGCACAACAAATTAATGGAACTGTTTTAAGTCAGTATTTTAGGGACCAATATTATACAGAGATAACTGAAATATATGTTGAAGTATTTAGGGAAAAAGAAAAATAGGATATGTTAAATTTATAAACCTATTTTAAGATGTTTAGGAAAACCTAATTAACTAAGTTTGTAAAAGTCCCTCTAAAAACTATTGTTTAATACTAGGTTCATCAGTAGAAAAAGAGATTTGTAAGTTGAATGCCAAAGGCTAAGGGAAAGCTATGTTTTTAAATTTCCACTTCCATAAATTTGAATCTTAATTGAAAAATAAAAAATAACCACCAGTGAAAAGTTGGATCTTTGACTCCACTGATCCTTTCAGACAATGCAGAGAAACAACACAGGAAAAGGAGTTGAGTGATTTATTGAGTGCTTACTTGATACCACGCCATTTCCTAGGTGCTTACCTAAATCAACTCATCGGATCCTCACAACAAGGTGAGGTGGATTTCATAACCCCAGCTGTTTCGGATGAGGCTCACAGTGGCTGTGTAACTTGCCTAAGATTCTGCAGCTGGTAAAGGATGGATGCTGTGCTTCTGCACTTCCAATGCCTGCTCCTGAAGGAAGGCTTGTGAAGGTGAATTTCTCAAAGTCACCCAGGGCCCTTGCTGTAGCAACAGTGTTGGCACCTTCTGTGTCCTCTGCACCTTGCCTGTGAGCCTTCCAGTGGGTGGGGAAAGAGGCATGCCTATCCGTGATCATTCTGTGAACACAGAAGAGAGCTGTGCTGGCCACAGAGAAGAAGGTAGTCCAACGATCCTTAAAGTTCAGGCGTGTGGATTGGAGCCAAAGGGGCCTGTCCCCTGGATATAACTTGAGAGCAGCTCTGAAGAGGAATTCCAGAAGCTGTGGAAAGAAAAAGAGGGAGGATTTTAGCCCTATATCTCCAGACAGTTTGCCTAACTTCAAAGGGTTCTTTTCAGTTTTTTCTTTTCCTCTACCAATGCCCAATGTTTTAGCTGTACTCACTGCCTGACATGATATGGGCAGTTGTACCTTTGAATCATTTCATACTAGAATATTAGGGCCAGTCAGCCTGGAAGGTATCTAGCCCAGTCCTCTCCTCCTGTAGACACCAAGAGATCAACTTCTGTTGCTTCCTATGAACATTCTATAGAACTCTACTTCTCACCTAACTCTGCCTAATTAAAGAAACCCGAAAACCTGTATTGAATAGTGGTTTCATAAGACTCCTGACTTCCATTTTTACAGAAAGAAGAGTAGGCAAATGAGGCCTGTAAGACAGAAGTGGAAGCATAACTCAGCTGCTGTGATTCAGAGGGCAGCAGGGGAGCTGCTGCCTCTAACTTATCTGACTGACAACAGCACCTGTGGCAGGTAGAGGTGGCACGACCCTCTAGGGACCCGTGCTTTGGCTGTGCCATTTTCAAGAATAAGTTTTCTGAGCCAGGACTCTTTCCAGTAGTTCTGTGAGAAAAGCACCATTTGCTAGCACTGACAGCTACCAAGTACCTTACAACTGCTTCTGAGGGGAAGAGCCTGATGACAGTGTGACTCTAATCTGCCTGCTCCCGAACAGATGAAGGAGAGAAGACTGAGGTGTGACTTAATTATTCAGGGGCTAAGGAGCTAGCACATGCTTTCTTTAGGCCTCCACTTTCTGCTGTTCCTTTTGTTGTCAGGGCATTCTACCAGCTGTCACCTTCCCTGAAAAGCCAAACGGGGAAATAAGAGGGAAAATCATCTATCTCTGATGAAAGAAAGAGAAAGAGAGAGACTGATAAACAATTGCACATACAATAGAATTTTAAAATACGCTACACATTTAGCTAATGCTTCACAGCCTAAAAACTGCCTTTATGTATTTTAACTCAATCACCCCTCACCGCAACCCAGTAAGGTAGACAGAGCCATCCTGATCCTGTCCTGCAGATGAGGAACCTGCTTTTGATGGCAGGTAAGTGGCTAGACTAGAGTTCAGATCTTAGAACCACAGAATCCTATTAGAAGTTACCCTAATAGCAATACTCTAAGGCATCCTTTTCCCAGAGCCTGAATCATCTTATAAAATCTCTGAGGTTTCTTCTGGCCCTGCTTGAACTCTTCCAGTGACAAGTAACTCTCACTATCCCATGAGCAATCGAGTATTAATACTAAGCTAAAATTCTTCTTATAACTTTCATCCTATTCAATTTCTGCCCACAAGAATTACAGCAAATTAAGTCAAATTCTAATTCACGTTCTTTTTAAAATTTGAGGATATTACACTTGCCCTTTTCTTGCAGATTAAATATTTCCAATTCTTTCAACTATTTATCACATGATTACCTAGAACCCTGCCTGAAATACACACTAAATAGTAAGTGCTTATTGCATCGCTGCTCTGGCCCTTGGTACTGTGTCCTGGTCTTCCTGCCGAGGGGCTCCTTCCCTTACCTCAAGTGTCCTCCGTTTTGTAATCTGTTCATCATTTGTTTACTTAACTAATTGGGAGAAAAAAAACAGTTTAGTTTTTACTTACCAAGTCGCAGAATTTTCAGGACAATTGAAACAAAACAAAAATCGTCCAAATGTCAGACAGTTTTCGATTTAGTCTGTGATAATGGATTCATTATTTCTTTCAACAGACTACCTCAGAGCTGCATTTCTAGAAAAGCCCCTCATTTACTGAGCATCTCCTGTAAGTAAGACACCGAATGGACCCCTGTGGAGAGTGGCCATTGAGTTAAACAGAAAAACTCCAGTGAAGGCAGAGGTAATTTGGGGTCTGGCTGGAAGGCCCTGCCTGAATACGTTATCCTGCAGCACAGTTTTTGCCTGTTAAGAGAAGCAGTATCCATTTTTTGGTCAATTTTGGGTACCACCAGACTAAAAAATATATGTCTCTTCAAAAAGGAGCTCCAGGGGAAACTCTGACTACTTTTAGTTGGTCTTAACTTGGATTAGTATGAGAGACAAGCACTGGTGTCACTGTGATGAGGCCACATCACTCCCAATGATGCAGAATTCAGTCAGCTTCATGCCTGTTATGTAAGTGCTGTGCTGGGATGAATAGCAATGAGCTTAAAATTCTGATAACTAACGGGCCAGGAAATAGGTAGTGAAGGGTGCCCTACTTTATGAAAGAAACAATAGTAAATTTCTCCCAATCATAAGGGAATATGCTTATTCATTAGAGTAATAGCCTTATAACAAGTTTGATGGTAAATAAGTCAGACCAAACATCCAAAACACAATTCCCAAAAAAGAATTGAGGTTAAATTATCCCATTATCACAGACTATATTGAAAACTGTCAGCAGTTTGGCTAATTTGATCCTGTTTTCAAGTTGTTCTGAAAACCTCTATGGCCTGAAATGTAAACAACGTAATTTTCCTTTCTCTCTATTGCTTAAATAAAGAAACATGAAAAACCTACTCTCTCCATATTGCAAATTCCAGTATTTTAGAAAGTGGGCTTCATCAGCAGTTTTCTCATCTTGAGTTTTAGAAAAGGTCAAATCTGAAAAGAGGTATTTCATATGATACTATGTATTCAGGGTTGAGGGCCTGGGGACTGGGCTGTGATCTCCTCTCTCATAAAGTATCTCCACTGTAATCACATGGTAGGTGATAGATTCTTCACAGGCACAGAATGGAGGGAACTTCTAGCAAGAAAGATCCACCACCACAAGGGAGGAGGAGAGTCCCAAGGTGCCAGAGAAATCATAGTGAAATATTGCAGAAAGTTCTTTCTGAAGGACACTCAGACGTCCTGGGGCTTATGTACACTGAACTGCAGACTGATTGCTTGCTTTGAAAAACTTATCCTTGCCTTCTCAGATCAATCCAAGAGTGTTCCTGGGGATAGCTGGTCCAACATGCTCAAATGAAGAAAGTAAGGCTTAGTGAGGTTGTATGGTTTGCAAAAAGTCACATATGAGATTAGTAGCAAAGCCAGACATAGAAGCTAGGACTTTGGGCTCCCAGTTCTGGTCTCTTTTCAGGTACCATGCTGCCTGCCTCCTGATGTTCAGAAAACATTCCTAAAGCCAAGGATTTTTACAACTTCACTTAAGTGGTTTTCTTTATAGGGAGAGGGAAAAGTACTTTGGAAGAGTTAGGATTAAAGATCTTTCCAAATGATCTTTGGAAGAGTTAGGATTGAAAACTAGTAAGTTGGGGGTACAGGTGTTTATGAGGAAGAATAGATAGAGCAAGGCCAAAAAAAAGTAAGAAAAGAATAAGGGAGGTAATAGGAGAGATAAATAGATGAACAATAAAGTAGAAGAAAACAAAAGACAAGTTAAGAGGGAGAAATGAACTGAGAAGACAAAGAAAAGGGACACCTAAGAGCAGCAAACTGACCAAGTGTGGTTACTCATGGCTGTAATCCTAGCACTTTGGTAGACCGAACAGGAGGGTCATTTGAGCCCCGGAGTTTAAGAACAACCTGGGCAACATGGGGAGAACTTGTCTCTATTAAAAAAAAAAAATTAAACATTATCCAGGCACAGTGACATGTGGCTGTAATCCCCATTATTTGGGAGGCTGAGGTGGGAGGATCACTTGAGCTTCTGACTGCAGAGGCTGCAGTGAGCCAACACTGTGCCACTGCACTCCATCCTGGATGACAGAGTGAGACCCTGTCTCAAGCAAGAAAAGGGGGCGGGGAAAGAACAGCAAATGGAGGCAATCAAGGACTGAGAAGAAATCGGAGAAGAAAGAAGAGAACAATAGAACCAAGAAAAGAGAAGAATACCAGGAAGAACAACATGAGAAAACAGCTGCTCTGAGCTGAAGAGAGAGTGTATAGGTGGACGGACAAGTTGGACAGAGGAATCCATAGGGCATAAGAAGCATGCGTAGATACAGGATGAATGAGTAGGAAGGTGAACAGCTGCACAAAGGGAAAGGAGTGATCAGAGCGGCCAATGCAAACTTGGAGGAATTCAACAAAGTGAGCTGGGATGTTAGACTATCCTTGGAATTACCTCAGAATCAGCTGAACTACGGTTCTAAGGACACTGGTAACACAAGGGGTTGTAAACGCCCTATCTACAAAACCAAATCTCCAACCTTTCATCAGCTACCTCTGTTGCCTCTTTCATCATTTAAATAACCTGTTTTTCAGAATATACAAACATTGACTCATTCATTTCATGTACTCTGGAGGCCTTCCTTTCTGGGATAGTTTCTCAGGTAATTTATTGGTGCTTTCTAAAGAATGGTGGGTCTCTTAGGGGCCCCCTCACTTAGAAGTGCCTTCTAAATTGGGAACAATGGGATTTTCCTCAGGAAATTCAGACCTACATCATGGTTGGATAGAGTTCCAGGGAAAATGTCACAGCATTGTGAAGGCAGCAGGGGGAACATGAGAGCAATTTCCCGGAACCACTGAGCACAGCCTTTCTTATAGACTCTCTGGGGAGGGAAATTCTGTGAGGAAAATCCTGTATGCACTCTTAGGCCCTCCAGGATTTATGTACATCCTATCTCCCATAGATGTGGGTGACTGGGGAAAGCCAGGCTGCCATATTACTATCTGATCACAGTAACATTTAATCCCAGCAGTATCTAGTACTCTGTGTGATCAACAAACACATTCTCCACTGGCTGAGAGGAAAGCATGATGAGGACATTTTCCTCCCAGAGTTATTAGCCCATAATCACAAGCCTCTTTAAACTGTGCAATTTTAACAGAGATACCTGCCCAGTCTAGGCTAAATAACAACTGCTTTCCAAGACTGACTCTATGCCAGGAAGACAAGGAATAGGAATTAAAACACTGGCACATTCTTTTTCTTTTAAAATGCATGCCACAAATAAAAGCCCATTTAGCCCCAGCTGTGGCCTCAGCTATTAGAACAAACTTGCAAGAAAACTTAGCAATTTACCTTCCTGCTCAATGTATCAACTAGCCCACTTTCCAAAATGCAACCAGAGTTAATAATGAATGAGTTTTTAAAATCACTTCATGCCTTGCATGCGCCTGGAGTGAGTTGCTGTCTGCAAAGTTGGGTTAATGCCACATTCCGTGAGTCCTCTAACAGGAGATGTTCCACAAGCAATTTTTTTTTTTTTTTTTTTTTTCCCTAACAAGCTGAGTTAAGGCCAGCCGTTGACAGGAATGTGCGGCAGCTGCCTTCTGAGTACTTACATAGGATCCTGAGCCGGTGGCTGTGCCCATGTTAGTTCTCCCTTCACCTCATGTACTCCCCATCACTCCTATAATCCATAAACGATTCTGATCCTGACACCTCCTCAAAATCCTCCAGCACCAAACTGGTGGAGTCCTCACCCAGGATGCTGCTGTCGGGCCTGGACATCCTGGCCCGGGAAGGAGGTGCAGGAAGGTTGGGGACAGCTGGAGGGGGAGAACAAGGGGGTGTCTGCTGGAGAGATGTGGGCGTGGCCTGAGGAGGGTACACAGATGGCTCACAGACTTCTTCATCACCCTTCTCAGACTCTGGTCCTGCATCTGCAGCAGTGGGACCCAGGACATGGTAGAGGCTGGGAAGGCGGATGTCAAAGCGCAGCCCAAACTTAGCAAAGAGCTTGTCATTGAGAGTGTAGAGCTTCTCCGAGATGTCATAGCCCAGCAGAGCCGAGAAGAGGCAGGAGATGTATCGCTCTTTGGTCAGAAGAAGGTGAAGACTTTTCCTGGGCCAGGAAATGTAGCTACATGAGGTCTCAGCAGTCAGAGTGACCTGAGAGGGGTCAGAAGCAGATAGTAAATGTTTAAACTAGAAAATTTGTTCATGCTGAGCACAGAATCATACAGTCGCTTGGCAAATAGCTGTACTTTTACTGTAGAAGCTGTGTGGGAGTACCCCTCCATAGCCTTGCCCTGAGGAGGTCCAGTGAATGACTTTCACTTGTGTGCACTGATATGGGGTTTCCTGTGTTGGGAGCCCTGGGGTCAGCCATTCACTCACTCACCCATCACCTCCTAGAGCCTCAGTTTCCACATCTCTAATTCTGTGGTTCTGTGGCTAATACCACTAAGGACTTCAGAAGGTTCTGAGTCTTGTGGTTTTGAGATAGAGAAAGAAGAGGCCTTCTGGTGCTCTGAAGAGTGGTTGAAATGCTGATGACTATTCATTTTAAGAATGAGGAAAGGGCCGGGCGCGGTGGCTCAAGCCTGTAATCCCAGCACTTTGGGAGGCCGAGGCGGGTGGATCACGAGGTCAAGAGATCGAGACCATCCTGGTCAACATGGTGAAACCCGGTCTCTACTAAAAATACAAAAAATTAGCTGGGCATGGTGGCGCGTGCCTGTAATCCCAGCTACTCAGGAGGCTGAGGCAGGAGAATTGCCTGAACCCAGGAGGCGGGAGGTTGCGGTGAGCTGAGATCGAGCCATTGCACTCCAGCCTGGGTAACAAGAGCGAAACTCCGTCTCAAAAAAAAAAAAAAAAAAAAAAAAAAAAAAAAGAATGAGGAAAGATAAGATATTGGGAAAGGGACACAAAACGAGTTGGAAAGTTCAGTTTGAGAAAAATCTTCTGATAAGGTATGCCAAGCTACATCATGTGGATGAAGCACTGGCCTGGGATTCAGGTCCACAAAATCTTAACTTGGCCACTTCAAGTAACCAAAAGAATCTGATGAATGACATCAGAAAAAAAGGCACAGAGGAGACAAACTCTAAAGGGCAGAAAATCAAAGAGGACCCCATTCTCCACATGATCATTCATCTAGGAATTTCTGAGCACTCACTATGCGCGCATGATGCAAAGCTAAATTACGCTTGCATGGGAAATAAGCAGTAACATGTGTCTGGCATGCAGTAGGTACTTGATAAATCCTGTTGCAATAATGACGAGTGGTAAAGCTGGGGTTAAAATGGAAACATGCTTAGAACAGTAGTAAAAGGGTGCAGAATCACACAATTTTCAATAATCTGATTGACCCTGATACTCTGGGCTGGCAGAGTTCATGATATATTCTTGTGGATGGAGACAGTGGAAATGACAATGATGACAATGTTGGCAGCTAACATTTGTCAAGAGGTGACTCTGCCAGGTATTGTGTTAAGTATACTTTATATGAATTGTCAAATTGGAGGTAGGCTAGCTTTCCAAAGATTCTTTATTAGAGATTATATACCATCCTTTTCATTCCTGCATTGCCTGCCGGATCTCCCACTGCCCTCCTCTTCTCTTCCTTCCTTTCTGCTATGTCGCTCCTCCAGTTGCTTTATTCATTTCCTCCTCTCAGCTTTTCCCCACTAATTGTTAGCACTGCAGTCAGGCCCTAAACTACATTACGGAGGCCAGAAGCTGGTTTCATGTTTCAGCTTTACCTCTATCAGTTGTGTGATGTCAAATAAATTACTTAATCTCTCTTGCCTCATAAGAAATAAAATAATACAATCTGTCCATTACTAATAGTTCAGCAAATAGTTGTCATAATCTGCCATAGCCTTTACCTTAGATGTACTTATGAATAATTCCCAAACAAGAAATCAGAGTACCCAGCATGAAGCAGGTGTGTTTGAGCAAGAGCTAAGCTGAATGTCAATAATGTCCTTAAAGCCAAACCCAAAGACTATGGGCATTCTTATAAATATGCTGTAACTTCTGCCATCTCAAAATAAAACAAAATTTTACAAATAAAATTTCTATTTCTTGACCTCAGTTCCCTGGCTAGCTATCACTCCACTAATTTGCTTCCTGTTTTAGCAAAACTCATGAAAACAAAAACAAAAACCTGTTTATACTTACTATCTCCAATTCCTCCCTTCTCACTCTCTTAAACCAATAAGACTTTGTCCCTAGGAGTTTACAAACACTGCTCCTGTTAAGGTCACCAATGACCTCTAAGCTGCTGATTCTGACGGTCAGTTTTCATGGCATCCAACCCCAACCATTTCCCCCTCCTCTTTGATACACTGTCTTCACTTAGTTCCCAGGATGCCGTATACTCATGATCCAATCTCACGATTGTTCCTTTTCGAGTTCCTTTGCTGCTTCCTCTTTTTCTCTCCAACTTCCCACCACTAAAGTATCCTAGGGCTCTGCTCTTGAACCATCCCCTTTTCCATCCACACTTACTCCCTTGGTGATCTCATGCAACCCAATGGCTTTAAATATCATCTGTATATAACCAACTCCCAAATTTATGCCACAGGCCCAGATCTCATTCCTGAATTCCAGACTTAAATATCCGATTGCCTATGCAGCGTCTCCATTCAAATTTCCACACATGATGCAAACCTAACATCAAACACTGACCTTCCTAGTCCCGCCAAAGCAACTCTGCCTGCAGCTTTCTTTATCTCAGTTGATAGCGGCACCATCCATCCAGTTGCTTAGGTCAAAAGCCTTAGTATTCCTTGATCCTCTTTCTCTCACATATTATATCCAACCCTTTAGAAAATCCTTTTGGCTGTATCAAAGACAATATATGCTGTGGCCTTACGTGATCTTGGTGCCTCATCACCTCTACAACTTTCTCTCCTGCCATTCCCTCCCCTTCCTCTTTTGTTTCCCCCACTAGAATGTAAATTGCATGAGGGGAGGGACCGTCATCTGTTCTGTTCACTGATTTCAAGTCCTTTTAACAGTGCCTGGTATACACTAAGTTTTCAATAAATATTACTGAAGTGAATAAATGAATCAAGGGAAGATGACCAATCTTATATATTGCAAAACAACCTAATATCACTTTCTCTCTCTCTCTTTTTTTTTTTTTTTTTTTTTTTTTTCCGAGATGGAGTCTTGCTCTATCACCCATGCTGGAGTGCAGTGGTGTGATCTCAGCTCACTGCAACATCTGCCTCCTGGATTCAAGCAATTCTCCTGCCTCAGCCTCCCAAGTAGCTGGGATTATAGGAATCTGCCATCACACCTGGCAAATTTTTGTATTTTTAGTAAAGATGGGGTTTCACGTGTTGGCCAGGCTGGTCTCAAACTCATGATCCACCTGCCTTGGCCTCCCAAAGTGCTGGGATTACAAGTGTGGGCCACTGCACCGGGCCCTAATGTCACTTTCTCATGTCCTGTATAAAATCCTTCCCCAAAGGTCCTCCTGAAATTTGCTTCTTGATTGGTTCTCCCATATATACAGATATGTCTGTTGTAAAGTTTTGACAACTATTTAGCTTTTTCTTTAATATCCACCTCAGATGTTGGTTGAATGAAACAAATGAGATAACATATGTAAATAGGACTTCGGTCCAGTAAGATAGGATGCAAATTAGAAAGACAGTGAAGATTTTTGTGTGATCCCTCCTGTGCTGTGTTCTTGATGACTAACAAGTGTCACAGTGCTGAACACACAACGAATTCCAATTTAATTGAATAGTTGAGAGGTCTGGTGGAAGGCTGATTGATTTGTACTAAGTACGACGTGAATTATAATTTAGGCTGTCACTGTGGATTGTTCTCTCAGTCAACAAAGACTATGTAGTTGCAAACGGCAAGGACAGGATGAACTCTAACTTAGGATAACACTTGACATTTGCAAAGAGGAAATGGGACTTTACACTGCCAATAGCAAATGTGTGGCTGTCATTGCTCCCAAAGGAGATGCACACTAAAAATATAAATGGGAGAAATATGGAAATATGACCATTCCTACATTCCAGGCTGAGAGGCCATGTGGGGTTACAGCCCTGCCTCTTGAGCATAATTTAGGGGAGGACACCCGGCTTACCCACCACCTGTTCCTCCATGTCAGTGTCAGAAAGATCCCTGGTCCAGCTGGCTCAGGATCTGACTCAGCCCTTCTGGAGGTTCTCATGTGCCTGAGGGAGTTCCTGAAGGAGGTTTCTGGGCTAGTTAGAGAGGGTGTGTGGAGGGAGGTCAGGGAAGGAACATGATGGAAGGGGATCTGCGGCTGGTGACCCTGGCAGTGGGATCAAGACTGCCTCTCAGACTCCATCATCACAGAGCCAAGTGTCAGGGTGGGGGCAGAAGCAGGCCCTGCCAGGTGGCAATGCCTGGTGTGTGTCTGTTCCGGGGCTGGCTCATACATTGGCTTGAGGGACTCCCTGATAAAAGTAGTAGGCGACACATGGAACCCAGTGTTTCCAGTTCCAGCAAACTATCCAGGCAGGGTAGTCCTTAAAAGGGCAGGTGAGTGTGTGCATGCGTGTGTGCACGAGTGTGTGTGTGTGTTTGTGTGTGCATGTGTGTGTGTGTAAACTCTACTCTTCTGGTAACCCTCCCATTTTAATAAAGGACAGAAATGGTGGATCCAGGCAACCTGGCTTTGCCACTTTCTAGCTGAAGACACTGGGCAAATTACTTGATGTTTTTGGGCCTTAGTTTCCTCAGTTGTTAAATGGGGTAATAATCATATTCAACCAACCCATAGAGTTGTGAGAATCAATGAGGCGATATGATATATAGTGGCTGCCACATGCTAGCCATTCGATAAGTGAGAGCTACAAAGAAAGTGACCAAAGTCTGAAGGATTGGCAAAGATAAGAGTAGGGGTCAGGCAGCCAGGCACCCGTGTTGGAGCACATATGTGAATGCCCCATGGAGTCCTCTGAGACACCAGTTTCCTAGTGGCAAACCAGTCCAGCAATTCTTTACTGAGCTACTGTGCTCCAGAGGGAAAAGCCTTGATTTTTGCTTCAGAGTTCACTATGCAGAAGACAGAAAGAAGACCAGATTGTTAGAACACAGAGCAAGATGTGCACCAGTTAGCATAAGTAACAGGACTAAAACAGGCACACAGGAGCACGAGGCTGTTGGGTGGAAACTGGTGAGGTCAATCTTGACAGGCTTCACAGAGGAAATGCGGTGCCATGGTCTCATCTAGACGGGGAAATGCGTTTCAGGTAGAGGGGAGAGTAGAGGGCAAGGACAGAGTAGAAAATCAATGTGGTATGTTTAGGGAAATACTACTAGTGGTTCAGCATGGCTAGTATGAGCAAAAATTATGAAGGAGGGAGGGCTGGAAATGTGGCTGGAGATCACTAAAAGGCTTGTTACCAGTAAGGAATGTGGGTTTTTATCTTGTGGCACTAGGGTCTTCCGGAGAGTTTAAGCATACAAGTAACATGGTCTACCCAGGAGCCAGCATTTGCCTCCCCTACCTCACCTATGGCTAGGATCCCAGGCACTCTTTCCACAGAGGGAGAGTGCCCCCACCTGTAGCTTCATGCTAGCAGTGGTGTGAAGGACAGTCATGGGAGGGGAAACATGGAAGCACGGATATTGCTGGGCTGCAGTGGGATGCTGTGAGGCAGTGCTGCCACGGGGCTCTCTGTTACCTGGAACACCCCATCCTCAGAAGGCTGTAGTGATTCCCACTCAGGAGAGTCCATGAACTGATATGGAAAGATGTAGTGCAGAAACTGCCCATCCTGGCTCACACGGACCCTGGCAAAAGAAGAGAAGAGGTCATGTGGGAAAAGAAAAATGGCTTCCCAAGTCACCTATGCTGAAGTTATGTGCCACTGATTAGCATGAATCTTCATGTAGAAACATTTTGCCAAAATCACGGTAAAACTCAAAGCTAGACTAGCTTAGTTACCGCATGCAAGCAGTTCAGAGAAGGAATACATTGAGACTTTTTTTTTTTTTTTTTTTTGAGCCAGAGTTTTGCTCTTGTTACCCAGGCTGGAGTGCAATGGCGCGATCTCGGCTCACCGCAACCTCTGCCTCCTGGGTTCAGGCAATTCTCCTGTCTCAGCCTCCTGAGTAGCTGGGATTACAGGCACGCACAACCATGCCCAGCTAATTTTTTGTATTTTTAGTAGAGACGGGGTTTCACTATGTTGACCAGGATGGTCTCGATCTCTTGACCTTGTGATCCACCTGCCTTGGCCTCCCAAAGTGCTGGGATTACAGGCTTGAGCCACCGCGCCCGGCCGAGACTTTCTTAACCCTCATTTTCCTCCTCCTTTTCCTTACTGGTGGTTTTCAATTTCAGGCTGCAGAGTAGAAGCCCCAGGGAAGCTTTTAAAAAATGACCTAGGCACTGGGCCAGTGGCTCATGCCTGTAATCCCAGCACTTTGGGAGGCTGAGGGAGGTGGATCATGAGGTCAGGAGATCAAGACCATCCTGGCCAACATGGTGAAACCCTGTCTCTACTAAAGATACAAAAATTAGCTGGGCGTGGTGGCACATGCCTGTAGTCCCAGTTACTTGGGAGGCTGAGGCAGAAGACTTGCTGGAACTCAGGAGGCGAAGGTTGCAGTGAGCCAAGATTGTGCCACTGCACTCCAACCTGGTGACAGAGCAAGACTCCATCTTAAAAAAAAAAAAAGCACCTAGGCTTGAGCCTTATCCCAGAGCAGTTAAACAAGAATCCCTCTAGGTAGGATCTGGATGTTATTAGTATTTACATCTCCCTAAGGTTTCTAACGTGTAGCCAGGATGGAAACTACTGCTGAAGAACTCTGCTGCTGGCAGGGTGTGGTGGCTCACGCCTATAATCCCAGCACTTTGGGAGACTGAGGTGGGTGGATCACCTGAGGTCAGGAGTTCCAGACCAGCCTGGCCAATATGGTGAAACCCCACCTCTACTAAAAATTTAAAAATTGGCTGGGCATGGTGGTGGGTGCCTGTAATCCCAGTGCCTCAGGAAGCTGAGGCAGGAGAATCACTTGAACCCCAGAGGCGGAGGTTGTAGTGAGCCAAGATCACACCACTTCACTCCAGCCTGGGTGAGAGAGGGAAACTCTGTCTCAAAAACAAAAACAAAAACTCTGCTGCCTATTTAAGTTTACAAAATTTATTAATTAAAATTAAATAAATTTAAAGATTCAGTTCCTCACCTAATTACATTATAGGTGCTCAATAGCCACATATGGCCTGTGGCTACAATGTTGTACAACATAGATGTGGAATGTTTCTATCATCACAGAAAATTCTGCTGGTTGGTGCTGCTCCACAGATTCTCCTTTCTCCCTTCCCAGTAGCTACATGACGATCCATGCTTACATTTAACCACTTTGTAGACTTCAAAGAAAGTGGAAGTCCACTATAGGCCAGAATCTGCTAGATGCTTTACAAGTGTTCTCTTGTACAATCTTGACAATACCTCAAGGTAGATTATTCTTTTCTGTGTTTTATAGCTAAGGAAACTGGTGCTCAGAAGGGTTGAGTGGCAAGCTTAGGGTTACATAGCGATCAAGTGGCAGAACTAAATTCTATGTTCTTAGCACAACACCCTGTTTCCACCCTATTACCAGAGCTTGGGGTAGGTAGTGGACTCCCCTAGCATAATCCCTTCCCTGACCTCTCTAATTATAGGTGGCAATAACAGCTTGTTTCTTTAGACAATGAGATCTCACATACTCTATCCAGTTGATGGTCCCAGAGTGAACACCTAACTCAAGCTAAGCCAATCAAATTTCTTCTCTGGGAATTTGGAAATGGAATTAACTGTAAATCATGCCTTGGCTGGGGACACTTCTCAGGCATTAACAAAACTAACACACTCCTCCTTGAAGAAACTTAAAAAATTTTTTTCATCACGTAACTCAGACTTTAAAAAAGTATAGGTCCCAATTGGCTGTAGAGAAAAGAAATTGAAATCACATAAAATGTCCTAGTAGGACACATCCTTGTTTCTAATACTACCTGAGGCTCAGGTGCATGTCTTTCCTTGAGTTTCATGAGAAATCCTTTTATCTTTTTAAATAAAGACTACCCTCCCCACTTCAGCTAGCTAGAGCTGGTTTCTGTGGCTTTAGTCAGAAATCCTAATTAATATATTTGCTTTAATTTTATGAATATTCTTATCCCATACTACCAATAGGTTAAACAACTGCTCTTGACTTGAGCATGACCACAGGCTTGGTTTCACAACTTAAGGAGTTAGAAGCCTCACTATTGCTGCTTGCTGCCTTTGTACTCTAGTAGCTATACCTAGCCTAGTGCTTTGCCCCTGTGGGGTAGGGGGACTGTATTCCATGAGAACTTGTTAGAACTGATGGCATATCATTGATGATGCCTGGACAGGGAATGTATTTCAGATGTGATATCACATCTGGAAAAAATTAGAATCCAGCATGGGCTTTATCCTCCCCCATCCCCCAACCCCTTCCCAGAAAACTCAGAGTTCTGTCTTTAAATTTTCTTCTAAAGTGAGTTATATCAGGCAATGGGGTGCCTCTATTAGGCAAGGGGGAAAGATGAAAAAGATCTCCAAGGTACACCTTGTCCATGTGGGAGAGCTATCCTTCCATTATTTCTGGAGGTTTATTGGCTAAACAAGTATTCATTGAGCATCTCCCATGTTCCTGGAGATCTGGGAATGCAGAGATGGGTATAATCTGGACTTTGTTTTTGAGGATTTTGCAATTTTGTGGAAGTCACAGCCACATAAATAACTAGCTGCAAGTCAATGTGATAGGTGCTATTGTGGAAGAGTAACAGAGGAGGGAAAGAAATTGGTTCTCTTTGGGCAGCAGACTTCTCGAAGGAAATGACATTTGAGCTGAATTTTGAGGAATGCAAAGGGTATTGAGAAGCAGATAAAGACGGGGATGAACAAAGATCTGGGAAATCTAGTGTGGCAGTCTGTTCTCCAGTATCTGCTTTCTTGCCTTCCTTAATGGTACCAGATTGTAACTGGACACAGGACTGCAGAGCAAAAATCAACATTTCCCTACTTCCCTGGCTGCTAACCATTGCCATGTGATAAGTCCTGGGCAATGGGATATGAGCGCTCCTGAGCCTTGCTCTTAGTGAATGCCTAGGTATATATGTGTGTATACAAATCACCAAAGACCATCACCAATTAAAACTCAGTGCTGCTCCACAGATTCTCCTTTCTCCCTTCCTAGTAGCTACATGAAGATACATTCTTATATTTAACCACTTTCTAGACTTCGAAGGAAGTGGAAGTCCACTATATGCCAGACTCTGCTAGACACTTTACAAGTGTTCTCTTATATAATCTTTGTACCTATTATCTGACAGCCTAAAGCTAGAAGACAGGAGGGAATATAGGTCTCAAAACCAAGCTAAGGCTGGAGTTGGCCCACAGCTTCTGATGATACAAACACACTTGCTCCTACAAGGTCAGATAATATATATAGAGAGAGTACCTGGCAGAACTTCCCTGAGTAAAAATGAAATGCCATGTTCTCTCACATCGGGGCCTTTACATATTTTGTCTCTAACTGGACCTCTTCTCCTCAGGTCTCAGCCTAAACATTCGTTCTTCCAGGAAGTCTTCTCTGACCTCCCCAGAAAAGTTAGATCCATCAGTTACATGCTCCTCTTGCATTTTGCATTTCTCTGTGGAAACACTCACTATATCAATCATTATCACAAACATTAACTACAGACTTTCTTGATAGACTGTAAGCTCCGTGAGTGCAGGACAATATTTTTCATATTTAACACTGCATCCCTAATCCCTCACACTCTGAATCAATAGGTATGGAAGGGGGAGAAAAAGGAAACAAGGAAGGAAAAAAGGAAGGATGAACAAATGAACGAAGGCAACCAAGGAACAAATTCACTTGTGTCACCATAAAAGGGGATCAAAACCTCACTGAAAGCTCCCCTAGGAAAAGAAGACAGCAGAAGAGAATGGCACTGCAGCAAATGTCAGATCCTTAGGCAAGGATGCCGGCCACTCAGGCAAGCCAAGGAGTGACAGCCACAGAGTATAAATAACGTCTAATGAGTCTTTGTGGCTCGCTGAAGCCATTTAAATTGGAGTGCTGTGACCTTTATCATTTGTCTCTTCTTCTTTCTTGATCAACTGGATGATGAATGATTTTCTCCTATATGAATAGCTTAGATAGTTGCCTACTCAAGGGGTTGTATATATGGAAGTTTGTGTTTTGAATTTTATATGAGAGGAAATTGTCTAACAATAAGGAGTGCTTAACAGGGTGACAGACTTTGAGGAAGTCCCTTTGCCTCTCTGAGTTTTGAAAGATTGGTTTCTTTTATTAAAATAAAAAGACTTCTGAGGTGTGAGCAAAGGACTCTAGAGAAGTGTGCATGTGAGATGGGGAAGTCTGCACAAGAGTCCCCATTTCCTGGCACAAAGTTCTTGTCTGCTGCTTTGAGGTGTTTGGTTTCTCACTGTAACCAGCCCAAGGTTCAGCAATTGTTTAAAACTAGAGCCCAGTCATAGACTAGAAGCTTTTTCCCTAAGTCCAGCTCAGCAAAGCCAAGACAGGGTGACACTGAAAGATAACAAAACCCTTACTCCAAACCTTGAAAGGCAAGAAAAAAAAAAGTCAAAATTGTCCAATTTCTAACTCAGCCTTTTGATGTTAAGCATACCAGGAAAAGATAAACTGAGGGCAAGCCCCCTCTCCCCTTCACAGGAAAGTGTTCTTACAGAATTTCACAGCAAATCTATCCTACCTGAACTCTACAGTAACCATACATGCTTCCAGCAAATGAGTACCCTTCACTAGAGGGAGCACTTCCGCTGGTCTTAATTTCCTCCTTTGAACAGATGAGCTACAAGGGGCAAATAACATCATGGATCTCACAAATGAGCAAGTTCTCTAAATTGCAAATGGTTTTTAAGCATGGAATGATAGGTGGCAAACATTTTTGCAGTAGTTATATGTATTTGTATTTACACCTGTATTTGCTTACAAACGATCGCATTGGTTTATACTTTCAGTTCACCCATAAATGAAATGAAATGTCTCCCCGCAAATGTCTCCTCTCACAGCTCACTCAACCTAGGAACTCTGAGTTCAAACAAAATCAAAACATATATACATGATAATCCAGGTTCTATAAACGAATACATAAATGTGTATTATTACTATTAGTGGCAGTGGTAGTACCATTAGCATAATTGTCAAACTTTTTCCCCATTGTGCGGTTGGCAGTATTATCTGGATTTGATTTGTTTCTTCTTGGAATTGAAGCTTTCTGATTCCCATCTTGCCTTTTCTACCACATTCTCCTGGTCTCAAGAAAGCTGGTGGAGTGGGGGTTGTGGTGCTCAAGGGCCACTAGGGCATTATAAAATAATTTACAATTGCCTACCAAGTGTGCAGCTCAGAGCCCCGTGATATTTGCTTAGAAGATATCAACGGCCAACATTCACATCCAGGTTGACTTGGCAGACACTGATTCTGACTAAGACTATTTCTGCCCATATCTGACTGTCAGTCTTCTCCAAAAGAGGCAGTGCTTCCACAAAAGCCTTAATGAGATATGTGTGAGCATCACTTCTCTTCTCCCTTTGTTGGGCACTCAGAGTTACAGTACTGTACTTGGCTTCTTGGTCTGTAAGAACCTCAATAGAACAACTGGAAATGGAAAGGTGGGCAAGGGGCATTCACTCTCCCTAACTGGTTGCACACAGGTATCCCAAACACAAGTCGGGCTGTTTCCTTGATGCCTTGGCAGGGAACAGGGTTTATGAGAACCACTCTTCTACCCTGACCTCCCATTTCTGGCATTGTTCCCTGAACATAGTTGGTGGTTAGCAAATGTTGAATTTGAATAAGGAACAGATTAACCTTACTGAAATGTTAGTTTTCCAAAGCTTACAGAGATACTGCTGCAGCTTAGGCGTCACACACTGATATGTGTGGGGTGGTGGTAGAGGGGTTATTACGGACCAGGCTCAAAACATACTCACTGCACACTTTCCAGTAGCAAGTGCACACGCAATCATTCTGGGCAACCAAGAAGATGCCTCATGAACTGGTTTCTTCTTGGAAAATACCAAGAAAGAGGAAGCAACCCCACTCTTAGAATAATCTATTTTGGTTTGTTTGACTTGTCACATCCTTCCCTCAATGGAAAGGGACATGAAATGGAAAGGGCCACACTAGGAAATAAGTGTGGGCTGGGGAAAGAAGTTCTTGGCAATGCAGAGTAGCTTACCGGCCAGAGAGCAGCAGGGACAGGCGGTTGATGGGTGTCTCGCCCTCCACGGCATAGGTCTGTTCAGTGGCCAGAGTTAAGACCTGCTCCTCGCAGCAATGAACAATCTCCTTGTATGTCTGTAGGGGCACCTGCAGGGGCAGGTACAGCGCCTTGTAGAGGAGGTCGAACTCCTCAGGTAGGGTGTCCTCGCGCAGGCGGTATACCAGGTGTGCCAGCTGCAGCAGGCAGACCAAGGCCAGCAGGAAGCTCCAAAGAACAATGTCCAGGCCACAGGCACTGAACCAGCCCCACAGCACACAGCACAGGTAGCCTGCACTCAGGAAGCCAAAAAGATAGAAGCATCCATACACCCCACTGCCCCCCATGAAGCCCAGGAGTAAAAGGCAGTTGGCTAGGTGGTAAACAGCCCCTTCCACATCCTGCTTCCAGCTAATGCACGCTGAACCCTGCAAGAGAAGCTGGCCCACTGTGCTGCTATTGGCGCTCATCTTTGAGGCCTCTCAAAGCCTCACTGGGCTCTAATACTGTCCTCACATAGGAAATTCAGAAAATGAATGAATCCCAGGGGTCTTCTCACCTCCGGCTTCTCATCACCAACTCCACCTTTCCGGGAAGGAATGCTTCCAGTGGCTTTGGGAATGAATGATGGAACACAGCACACTTCATGGAGAATTCAAAAACTTCTTGCTCTCTCTCACTCTCCCTTTCTGTCTCCCTCAGCAAGGCTCTGGCTCTCCCTGCAGAGCTCTGGCAAGCATTCTTGGTTTCGTGTTTCTTAGGGCAGTCTTCAAATTTGGTTCTTAGCAGAAAAACCTAAATAGTCACAAAGGGTAGTAGGACTATAGGACTGAAAAACCCAGCAGTGTGGGATGAAGCAGCCACATCCTGCTCTCTGTTCTTCCCAAGCAGAATGCAGAGCGCCAGCATGGGAGGCACACTTGTGTTACATTTGGAATGTGTTCTCTCTTGGCACCGGAAGAAAGGGTGACCCCAGACGGATACCATGTTTGGAATTGGAATCCAAGAGGTACTGGCAGTGAGGAAAAACAGGCCAGGCACAGGCAGCCTGGCAGAGCACTTAACATACCTCTCAGAGGACGAGATAAGACCTCAGGGTGAGAGAAGCAGACAAAGAGAGAGAAAGGAAAAGTGAGCACAGAATTCACCTTAATGCCTCAGGCAGGTCCCACCTCCCTGTGGGGAAAGGCTGACAGCACTCCTGAGTGAGGAGGGCACATCAGAGCAGGAAAGTATGGGACTATTATCTGAAAAAATCCTAACAGTGCAAACTGGAAAACCCCTGAAGACCTTTATTAAGTCACACTGCAAATATCATTAGGTATTTATTTGACTTCCATTTAACAAAAGTAGCTATGTAAAGCAGTGTTTTGAATTCTAAGCTGACTTTTCCCTGCATATATCTGGATCTGGTAGTAGTAAACAAGTAATCATACATTGCCCAGATCATCATCCCACCCACTCCAGTGTTTCCAAATTATAATTCCCACCTATTAAATACCCATGAAGTGCCAAACCTAGATTAGGCATTTTATATACTTGTAAGTTAGTTGTCACAACAACCTTTCAAAATAAATACTATTCTCCTTCTAGATCTGGAAGAAACTGAGGCTCAGAGAGGTAATGAGTTCCCACAGATAGTAAGTGGGATCTGAACCCAAGTCTATCAAACTTAATACTCTGTTCCAAGGGGTTTGCCAGTAAGTGAAAGTAACGGACTAGATCTGTGACTCTCAACTCCACACTTCTATGAAGTCTAACAATTTTCAAGGAACTTCTGGTTGAACCTGGGAATCTACTTTGAGCTGCCAAGAGATAAAGCTAGAGTATGCAAACATTAAGCTAAGAAATGTTGGCTGGGAATAGTGGCTCACAACTGTAATCCCAGCACTTTGGGAGGCCGAGGTGGGTGGATCACTTGAGGTCAGAAGTTTGGGACCAGCCTGGTCAACATGGCAAAACCCTATCTCAACTAAAAATATGAAAACCCTAGCTGACTGTGGCGACAGGCGCCTGTAGTTCCAGCTACTCAGAAGGCTGAGAATTGCTTGAACCCGAGAGGCAGAGGCTGTGGTGAGCTGAAATTGCGCCATTGCACTGCAGCCTGGGTGACAGAGCAAGATTCTGTCTCAAAAAAAAAAAAAAAAAAAAAAGTGGGGGAGAAAGAAAAAAAGAAATGTGACTCTATGGCTTCCAAATGACTTCTTGATTCCCCTTCCCTGCTGCTGGGTTAGCACTTACTACCATTACTCCTATTGCCGCTGAAGTACAGCGAGGGTGCTCAGTAACCTCCAGAACTAATCAAGGACTCAATCCATAAGGACTTTTACACTGCTGCTATAACTTGAGGAAAATTTATGAGAAATTAGAAATTATGAAAATTTGGTGAGGAGGAGATGTTTTCACTCAACAATTATTTATTGAGCGCCTACTATGAGCTAAGAACTTGGGGATCAAAGATCCTCAAGAGAAACTTTCACCCTGTTAGGGTAAAGAGACCTCCAGGCCGGGCGCGGTGGCTCAAGCCTGTAATCCCAGCACTTTGGGAGGCCGAGGCGGGTGGATCACGAGGTCGAGAGATCGAGACCATCCTGGTCAACATGGTGAAATCCCGTCTCTACTAAAAATACAAAAAATTAGCTGGGCATGGTGACGCGTGCCTGTAATCCCAGCTACTCAGGAGGCTGAGGCAGGAGAATTGCCTGAACCCAGGAGGTGGAGGTTGCGGTGAGCCGAGATCGTGCCATTGCACTCCAGCCTGGGTAACAAGAGCGAAACTCCGTCTCAAAAAAAAAAAAAAAAAAAAAAAAAAAAAGACCTCCAAAAGCCTATTCAGTGTGTGAAGCACAATAACCAAGTTAGGTTTGAAGGATAGTGGCAGCCTAGAAGGAAGGGTGGCATCAGGAAGAAAAGATGCAAAGAAGAGCTGGCCTCTAATTTGAGGTTTAGGGGTTGAATTCACCAGGTAGGTAGAAGGAGAACAGGATTTCTAGTGGTGAGAACAGCAGAAGCATGGGCACTGAGGTATGAAAATGCATGGCATGTTGAAGAAAGCCAGTTTTGTTAACCTAATTAAAATAAATTCTGACCAACAAATGTACACCATATCTCCTCCTTTTTAAAGTTAAGAGGGAAAAAAAATCAGTAAAGTGCTAGAATGTCTGGAGAAGATATGCCATCGAGGCTACTTCACGGACATGATTTGGACTCACTGTCGCATGAACAGTGGAGTTTGGGGATTTCCATATACTGCTTTTATGTCGCTTGCCTGCCTCCCCACCAATCCCCCTATTTTAACAAGCAGCAGCTGCTCATTCTTCCACCACAGACATGCAACCCCTGAGCTTCCCGAGTAGCTGTCCCTGCCAGCTGTAAGCAGGAAAGTCAGAAGCACAGAAACGGAGAAGCAACCAAGGCTCTGCCCAAGATAGAATTTCAAAGCAGCTCATGTTTCTTAGGAGACTTGCCAAATAGGTTGGCCCTAACCCATTAAAGAGACAGGCAGACCCATTAACTCTATGGTTCACTTGTCCTGCTGCCAGACTGCACTCAGTCTGCTTTCCTGAAAATCCACATATGTGCTATCTCAGCAGGGGGTTCTAACATTTATTAAGCGCTATTGTTTCCTCTTGTTATCTTACTATACCAATTTTTTAAATAAAATAGAAGAAACAGGCTCAGAGAGGCTAAGGAACTTGCCCAAGGTCACAAAGCTAGTCAGTATGTGAATAAAGATTAAAGCCTAGGTCCATGTGTCGCTGAATTGTATATTCTCTACAACATATTAATAGCATCCTATCAGGTACTTTTGGGAGTTTATATGTCTGCATACAAGCTCATCTATTCCTGCTGGAAATTTGAGCATGATATTAGGATGGCATACGTCAGAGAATCATGGGTGCAAAAACCCCACACGTGGCCTGCAGTAATAGTAACATTGATGCCCACAGGATGGGACCTGTGATCAGAATACAACAATGAAAAGTTGTGTCTTGTTTTTAAGTCCAGATTTGATAGAAAAGGAAGGAAAAATGTACTGTCTGTCAAAATGGTAAGTTCTATAAGGAAATACACAAATATGAAGGCAGAAGCACAATAAAAAAAATCTGGGAAAGAAAAAAGGAAAGAACCACAAGTTTTCTCATTGTTGAGTTGATTCAATTCAATAGGCATTTATTCAGGACAAACTATGTGTTCCAAGAACAGGGAATATAAAGATGAATAAGACAATTATCACTTCAGTAAACTTTCAGTCTATTCTGGGATACTGACCCAGAAACTGCAATCCAATAAAATAAGTGTACCTAGGATTCAAAGAAAAAACACTGATAAGAGAGCAAATAATTCAATCCATAGGGACTTTTACTATACTGCTATAACCTAACTAAAATTCATGAGGTTGGGGGCATGATGGCTCATGTCTGTAATCCTAGTACTTTGGGAGGCTGAGGTGGGATGATCACTTGTGCCCGGGAGTTTGAGACCAGCCTAGGCAACATAGGGAGACACCTGTCTCTTAAAAAAATATATTTTTTTTTCACGAGAAAACATCACAGGGAAGGTGACTTTTAAGCTGGTCTACAAAGATGAGTAGGTGTTCCCCACCTAGAGAAGGGCATTCCAGGAAGAAAGAACAGATTATAAAGTCAATCCCAGAAGTAAAACAAAATACGTGGCATGTTCTGATACAGAGAACACCTAGTTGTAGGTGAATCAAAAGGAGTAGCAGACAAGAGGCAGGTGAGGCAGGCTGGGGACAGCTTATGGAGTCAGCAGAGTCAACAGTGCCTCTCAAGTGTGGTCATGAACTCAGCCCGGTCTAGAAACTGTTTGTTACTGGTCCATGCTGGAATAAGGACAGAAATTGTGAGGGTTTAGACATTTTTATAGCAATTTCACAGAGAAACTATGGCCTTTGAACTAACAAAAATTCTGGGTTTGTATATTTTTAAATATGTATGGGTTTTTTTATTTCATTTTCCTAGTGTTGGTCTGTGATGAATTGAGGGGGAAAAAGCTAGTTCTTCACCACATAGTTTGAGCAACACTGAGCTTGAGGTTAACACTTTCCTAATAAAGATACTAAAATAGAACAGAGGCATAGTTTTATGCTCTGGACACAAAGTGTCAAGTTGATCTTAAGCAGACACTATTGGTTGTCTATAGCCATTTCCCCTTTTTCTTTAGTTTATGCAACTCTAATTTTGCTTGTGCAATATGTTAAGGAAGGTGGGCTTCTCCCCAAGTTGCCATAGCCTGAACTAAGATTGGTTGAAGCCAAGCACAGTATTTATTCCCCTTGTTAGTGACTGGCACAAGAGTAGGCATGTGACCAATGAGATGGAAGTAAGGGAGCTTCTGGGAAAAAGGATATTCTCTGATAGAAAGCAAGCCTACCTTTCATCTAGGCTTGAATAGCTGTGTGATGATGTAATACTTGAAGTTACCACAGTCATGAGATATGATAGGCCTAAGGATGAGAAGGATAAAGAGCAGAAAAATAGAACAAGCCTAGATTGGTTTATTTTTTTAAGACAGGGCCTTGCTCTGTAAGCCAGGCTGGAATGCAGTGGTGCAATCACGGCTCACTGCAGCCTCAGTCTCCTGGACTCAACACCTCAGCCTCCCAAGTAACTGAAACTACAGACATGTATCACCATGCCCAGCTAATGTTTTTATTTTCTGTAGAGACAGGTTCTCACTGTGTTGCACAGGCCAGTCTTGAACTCCAAGACTCAAGCAATCTTCTAGCCTCAGTCTCCCAAAGTGCTGGGATTACAGGCATGAGCCACCACACCCAGCCAAGGCTAAGTTCTTGAAAGCACCACTGAGCCACTGTCTTAAACCTGGAGTTTTTAATCTCCAAACTTCCTAACAGGGAGACAAATCACTCTTCTGTATCTGTTGTGTCAGTATAGTTGGGTATTCTAGTGCTTGCAGTTGAAAGCATACTAATTCAGATCTCCCTAAGGACAACTCTTCAGAGAACAGTTCTCTGAACACCTGCTAATTGTCTTATTCTATAAAAACTGAACATCGGAATTCTTAAGCTCTACCAATAATTTTCTCTCTAAAGCTTGAGTCAACTCTGAGAGGAATTCCTCCTATAAACTCAATTTGACTGTTTAGGGTGACCTGTTAGGTGAACAAGATTAGTGGAAAACTGTCTATTCAATATCCATATACCTCTTCCTCAATTGTGACAGAATTTGTTTTGTCCAGATATCTAACCTACACATGGAACTAAGGAGAGTGGGGCAGGGCAGGGGGTTGGGGGTGGGGAGAGATCTTATGTAAGCCAATCAGCATAAGGTGTTCTGTTGATAACTATTACTGGTTCATAAAAATACATATAACCTTATTTGGTTCAATCAGACCTTAAAAAAAGTAACTAAGAGTCTATGCCCAGGGAATGCTTTCTCTCTTCTGCTGGACTTGAACAAGAAAGCACATGACTGGCTTCATCAGTCCTGGACGAGAAAGCTCTGAGATGAAAATAACTTGAGTCTTGGATGAAATCAGTGACCCTATGATATCACCACATCTAGAGCTGACTCAAACTGGACTTCCAGCTATGTGAGTTTTCCTTATGAGGATTTTCTATTACTTGCTATCAAAAGCACCATAATAGACACAGATGAAATATCTAGCAGTTTTTAAGAGCTAAAGAAATAAATACTGGGCATAATCATACATGTACCATTTAGAAAACCAACTTGGAATATCCATCATACCACTAAGTATTCAATTTATATTTTTATGGCATATATACTTACATCCACTAGACTGTAAGCTCTTTGAGGGAAGAGTCTATAACTTAACTACTAATCTCTGACTACTCTGTATAGTTGGCATATAGTATGCCCTCAGAAAGTGGTAAATCAAACAACCTCTCATTTTAAAAAAAGGGTCTGATTCACACATGAATTATCAACAGTGGGGCTGTTACCTGTAAATAACAGCCCTTCACTAAGCATGCATTAAATGAATTTATAACTACAAACATGATGTTTACACTGGATAACTAGTACACCAAAGAACACTGGGCTTCAACTCTAATGACCTAAACTCACATCACAGGTTACCAGCTATTGGATCAGGGTGATTTCCTTAACCTCTCTGAGCACCTATACTCACCGGTAAAATAAGGATCATGGTTTTTTCCATCACATCAGACCTGTGAAAGACACAGTAATCCAAAGATAGGCCTTGCTTAAGGATATGATCCTGTTTTCATCAATCTTCAAGTCTAACATTTCAAGGTTAGACAAAGGGGGGACTAGAGAGAATAGTGTGAATATATCCATGTTGAGTTTAGTCACTTTTGTGAAGAGCAAGGGCTTAGCAAAGAGGTGTAGTACAATGTGGTTGTTACCCACTATGAGACCAAGTTCTTCATTTTTCAAGTTACTATGGTAACATCTCTTACCATTATTACTGAAATGCTGCACATCATCTTGGGAAGGCTTAAGCACTAGGAAAGGGTGGGAAGAGGGTCTTGTGAGACGTACTTTTAACCACTGCAGAGGTCAAAAAGGGTGTTTTTAGTTACTTTACAAATCAGGCAGACATACCAACTGGCAAATTTTAAAAAATTGTGTTGCTCAGAGATTACGGAAATCAGTGCTTTCAGATACTAAGGTGCAAATGGATATATTTTTTCTAGAGATCATTTGAGGGCAGTCCTCACCCAAAGCCTTGAAAACATGCATGGTCTCTGGCCCAACCTTAGCTGAGTGATTAGTAAAGGACACTTGTAAAGACTCTCCCTAAGGAGACTTCTATTGTAATATTATTACAGAGTAGCCAAAAGAAAAAAGTAAAAGGTGTGTATACACACACACACACACACACACACACACACACACACACACGGGGGAAGGGGAGAGAGAGAAAGAGGGAAGGAGAGAAAAAGGGAGGGAGGGAAAGAGGGAAGTATGAGAATGTCCTCGAAGACAGGTCCTATTGTAGACTGGTGGGATTTCAGGTGATTTCTTCTTTATTATGTTTCCATTAAACCAACCAATAAAATAAAACAAACAAAAACTCAGAATTTAGGTTATCTGGCATATATCCTGTTCCAGGCTGAGACTAAATTCCTAGAATGGCATCTGATATAACAGAAGGCACTCTATATAAAGTATTTGTTTAATGAATAAATGTACAAATGTGTAAAAATAAATAGGGTATTGGTTAAATTATGGTAAGTCACAGAATGAATTTATATAGTCAATACAAATGACACGGTAGGCAGACCTATACTCATTGATGACAAAATACATTAGGAGAAAAACATGATAATGTTATAACCTCATTAAAAATATGTAGCATAGAAAAAGTTTTATTTTTATTTAAAAAATGTATAAATGTATAGGAAAAGTCGGGCCTAGCATATATCAGAAATTAACAATGGGTGATAAGGTTGTTGATTTTTTGTTTTCTTTTTTGTAGTTCCAGGACATATTCAAGCAGTTTGGATAACCATCTGCCAAAGATCTGTACTGGGTGGGAAGTTAGTGCATACCTGTCTTAATTGTCCAAGATTCTATTCTTCACCTAGATTATCTCTGTAAACCATAAACTGCTTACTAAAAGTATTATATCCAAATAAATATTCAAGTAAAAATATAAACAGAAAATAATAGAGAATGCTAATAACACTCAGTGCTAACTACTGTGCCAAATGCTTTATATACATAATTTTTAATTAGTACTTACAATCTTGGAAGTTAGGTATTACTTCTATACCTGTTTTTATTTGTTTTTGGTTTTTTTGTTTTGTTTTTCAGCTGAGAAAAGCAGACCCAAAGAAGCTATGCCTTGCTTGAGGTCACACAGCCAGCTGTTGAACTTAAGTCTGTCATACATCAAAGCCATTCTCTTAATGAATTAGGAAAGAATATTAAGGAATCATCTGATTCAGCTCCTTATTTTATAAAGGAGGAACTTTTCCTATCAGACAATGACACATGAACTTTACATATCCTCTTAGTTATGTTCTCCATATCTTTTGTTCTTGAGATTTTTAGACTTCAAATGTACTTACAAGCAGAATATGACCAATTACTTCATTACCCATAACCAGCTGAGGATGACAAGGTTGCTATACTAAGGAAATCACACTCTGTTCAACTCTAGACATCACCATGGCATAGCATTGAGCTGTTTGATTAATGACTTTTAGTACCAATTCAGTTTCTTGCCTAAGCCAGCTTCTAAATAATAAGAGATAACTGTCTACCCTGTAGGCACTACACTTAAGATCCTAGTATATTCTAAAATGTAACTAGCCATGTACAGATTCATAATGCCAAACAGTTGAGATCTTCCAAGCCAAATCACCCTAATTTGGTCCAAAACTTAAACTAACTTTTCCAAAAGACATCTAGTAAAGAATAACAATAATGGTTTAAACATTAAGACTAAAGGCTTGTTGAGTTCTTGCTTTTAAGAAAGTTAAAAAAGCTGGGAGTGGTGGCTCACGCCTGTAATCCCAGCACTTTGGGAGTCTGAGGCGGGTGGATCACGAGGTCAAGAGATAGAGACCATCCTGGTCAATATGGTGAAACCCCATCTCTACTAAAAATTACAAAAAATTAGCTGGGCATGGTGGCGTGTGCCTGTAATCCCAGCTACTCAGGAGGCTGAGGCAGGAGAATTGCCTGAACCTAGGAGGCGGAGGTTGCAGTGAGCCGAGATCGTGCCATTGCACTCCGCCTCAAAAAAAAAAGAAAGTTAAAAAAAAAAAAAGTGTTGAATGAGATGATATGGCTACCATACTGATTCTGATTTGGTAAAGGGTTATTCATTTTTACTTCTATGCACCTAATTCTGGAAATTTTACTGGCTGAGATCAGTATCTGCTTTCTCCTGACAACAGATACTGAGTTCCCAGAATGAAATAGTAATAAGAACATAAGAACCTTATGTTACAAGATTTGTTAGTATATATCCTTTATGGGGTCGGGGGAAGCCACTTGAGCAAATGAGGAACACAAAAAAGAAAGACAACTTAAGATCTTTCACTAGTAATATTTTACTTTCTTTTTAAAATAAATTATAAATACTTTTTCCACATATCAAAGTTCATCAAAGAACTCCCAAAATTAATCTTCTTCATTCTTCAGGAATTATTTATTCACACACCAGACCACCTACAGAAAAAGATTCATTTTAGAAAGTCAGATTTCAAACATCACGCAGATCTATGGAGTTAGGGAATTCAGACCACTAGAAATGAATGCCTCAGATAAGTAATTAACTAATTGCCCTAATGATTCCAAATTAGTCATAAAATTCAAAATCAACATTCTAAAATTCTAGGTTTGCCTAACTAAAAACATCACTGAGACTATTCATGATATTGTTTACCCTTTAGAAATTTTTGAAGTAAAAACAGTGTGTGTGTGTGTGTGTGTGTGTGTGTATGTGTATATAAAATACATATGTGTGTGTGTGAGATACATATATTTCTCAAAAATATCTTCCAGTAAAGGCTAAAGCAGTTATTTTTACAGATATTCAAGAGACGAGACTTGCGAACCCCTCTTTGCTGATTCAAGTATGCCTGGCGAAGATCCACAAAGTAGAAGGCAGAAGGTCAGCTCAGTATACGAGGCACTTCCTGTGGAAAGTTACTTAATCCCAAAGGCAAAATAAGGGCAACTCTTTTAAAATTCAGTTGGAAAAATCAAAAAGGGGAAAGTAGCAGAGATATGGTTGCTGATCTAGTCAAGTCAATATCAGGTTTCTCACACTGCTCCCAGTGCCTATCCCAGAAGATTGAGAACAATGCTAGGCACGTAATTAAATTGGGGTAGCTAACTCTTCAAGTCTAATGCAAATACCTCCCTCATTTAGCTGGTCACTCCATTTGGTTTAGATAAAGAGAAACCACACCAACATACAAACATCTAAACTGTCTCTTTTCTAAAAGGCTCAAAGGAAGAATACACTTACAGAAAAGTTTAGATGGAAAAGATAACCAACAATGAAGCTATCCAACCTTTCGATGATAGCAGTCCATAGCACTGTTAACCACTTTTGCTACTGACTACATATCAAAAGAGGCTAGCTATGTGGTGGAAGACCCTGGATGTAAACCTCTTTGGTTATATCTCTGGATGTAATGTCCTTGACTGGAGGGATAATCTTTCTCCTCTAGGCATTTTCCAGGGTCTTTTTTTATTGAATGAATAAATGTTTGAATGGCAGAAATTATTCTATCTGGATTATCTTGAGATCATATTTTCATACATAATCAGTTGTGTGTGTGTGAAATTCAGCACATTTTTAAGCATCCAACTGTTAAGTTGTTAAACTTAATATTGAGTGTCACCACTACTCAGTACTAGTCCTTTAATTTCTTTCAATGACTTTAGTCTCCAAAATGGGTTCTTCAGGCTTCTTCTGACTCCCAAAGGCAGAAAGATAGTAACCATCCATTTCCTCCTTATATTTCTTTCTTTTCTTTTCTTTCTTTTTTTTTTTTTTTGAGACGGAGTTTCGCTCTTGTTACCCAGGCTGGAGTGCAATGGCGCGATCTCGGCTCACCGCAACCTCCGCCTCCTGGGTTCAGGCAATTCTCCTGCCTCAGCCTCCTGAGTAGCTGGGATTACAGGCACGTGCCACCATGCCCAGCTAATTTTTTTGTATTTTTAGTAGAGACGGGGTTTCACCATGTTGACCTGGATGGTCTCGATCTCTTGACCTCGTGATCCAGCCGCCTCGGCCTCCCAAAGTGCTGGGATTACAGGCTTGAGTCACCGCGCCCGGCCTTCCTCCTTATATTTCTAATGAGGTTCTAGGTTTTACTTTCTCTTTTCAGTAAAAGAAGCAGTCATGGCCGGGCGCGGTGGCTCAAGCCTGTAATCCCACCACTTTGGGAGGCCGAGGCGGCTGGATCACGAGGTCGAGAGATCGAGACCATCCTGGTCAACATGGTGAAACCCCGTCTCTACTGAAAATACAAAAAATTAGCTGGGCATGGTGGCTCGTGCCTGTAATCCCAGCTACTCAGGAGGCTGAGGCAGGAGAATTGCCTGAGCCCAGGAGGCGGAGGTTGCGGTGAGCCGAGATCGCGCCATTGCACTCCAGCCTGGGTAACAAGAGCGAAACTCCGTCTCAAAAAAAAAAAAAAAAAAAAAAAAAAAAGAAGCAGTCATAAAATAGAAAAAAATTGTCTAGAATCACCACCATACCTATTTTTTCTTGAGTTTTCAAGTCTCTGCCTTTGCTACTACTAATTTTTCAGATACTTTACGCCTAGCATTATCCCTGCTATTCATCTTCAAACTCAGGCCAGTGGTTGTTAGAGAGGAGCACACTTGAAAATCATCTAGGAGTTTCTCAGTCAACAGGTGCAGACCAAGGCTCAAGTCGTGAATTTTGAAAAACATTCTTCAGCTAATTCTGAGATGCACCTCTGGGTAAGAATCACTGGATGGATGTAGCCTAGTTTCATGTTAAGTATAAAAAAATGTATAATAGACTTTATTCCCCACTTACTGCACTTGAGGTACAATTAAGATCTACTTAGGAATAACATTAAAATCTACAAAGGTTTTTTTAAATTAAGGAACTTTCATGATCATTGCCAGAAAGATCTAAGGTCGCAAAATATTTTCTTTTAAAGCTATTCTCAAAAAAACATGGTCTAACAGTCTAAGAAATACCAATTAAGGTTACTGTATAGCAATGCAGGCAAGCCGTGTTGGATTTCACCCTCCAGCCAATGGCCTTAATGGGTTATATGCAACTGTACATTTCAGTAACAGGTCTTTCCAATTAGCATTCATAATGAGGTTTTAAGATTGAGGATTAAGATTATGTGCAATCCTAAAAATGAATATGTTGGCACTAATATCTCATTAAGTACAAGTGAAGTGTAAAGTGCCTATGATTTGGAGAATATAAGAGATCCGAACTCTAATTTAATTCCACCACTATCCATTAACTTGAGCTCTTTTTTTACTTCACTGTGCCTCCACTTCGCCATGGAGGTTGAGGAAATAGGACACCTGGGACCAATGAAGATCCAAACATCCAGTCCTGTTCCAAAAACATTACACTGAAAGTGGAAAACATTGCAGTTTGAACTCTTAGAAAGATCCTATATGGATTCAAATTCTTCTTGTAACTAGGATTCAAAAATACATAATCAAGTCATATACTTAACAGACCTCAACTGAACTATTTTGTTCTGGTTTTTACAGATGATTTATTTTACATTTAATCATCACAACAACTCTATGAAGTCGTTTGGGCATGTATTATTACCTCCATTTTACGGAAGAGGAAACCAAGGTACAGAAAGTTAAGGACCTGCCCAAGACCACACAATCAAACAGTAGACTTTCTAAGTCTAAAGCTTTTGCATTTTCTTTTACACACAAGTGAAGTATAGACATCATTCTTACTCTGCCCCAATAACATAAAGAAAACTATGATATCATACGGTACTTTTGAATATATGCCACTTATAACAATTGTACCACCTTTGTGGTTCAGATGAAGTCCAAGATAAGCTTTCGATATTCCTGAAATTAGCATTTCTTTTGTTTTTTTTTAATTATCCCTTTTTATCAAAGCAGGTTCAGCACAAGCCTATAGCTTATACAACTAACTAGGGAGTTAGATTATGAACAAGGAAACCATGTACAAATTTTGAGATCGCATCTGTAAAAATAGTTAATAAAGTACACTTATACTTTTTAAGAATATAAACTCCCCTTCAAATTTACTTATTTTCCAAAATGGTTCATTATGGGATTTCTTTAAATAACCATCTGGTCTAAAAGCTACTTAAGTATATCATATACACAACAGAAGATATACCATACTATATATAGAATCACAAAATGTATTATGGTTCTCTTTTTATAAATAATAAGTGAAACTCAGAGGATTAATGTCTCGATGAATCTAAACGGTGCTGAAGTGAAAAACATGCTAAACTAAACATCAGGAGAAGAAAAATAAAGCCCTCAGGACTTTCAGCCTAGACTGTTTTCCATTACACAGTAACTTCTTATCAGCTTGTGACAAGTTCCTTATCCTTCTTTTTTTATAGCTCAATGAGGAAGACGAACCATATGCGAAATTCCAAAGAGGCAGGAAAGAGGTGCAAGGGAAAGAAGCCAGGGTCTCCAGTACTAATATACTGGCATGTGGCTTTGGCATTATCTCTCAGCTATTAAGTTAAAAGTGGTAGTGTGGTGTGGAAGTAAGGGTAGAGGCAAAGAGCAGAGTCAGCCTAGAAACTGAGGCTCGTTCTTCTACTGCTCAACCCACCTTGGGGGCCATTTCATAACCATAAGCCTTAATTTCCTTACTTATTCATTCACTTAATTAACAACCCTCCTTTGGGCACCTACTATGAGCCAGGCATTGTTATAGGTGGTGGGGATATGACAATGAATGAAATAGAAAATTCTTACTTTCTCAGAGCTTACATTCTAGCTGCTGTGAAGCAACACAGATGATTAAAAATATATATATCTAGGTGGCAGTGTATAGAATAGAGTAGCCACTAGCTACATGTGGCTATTAAAATTTTTAAAAACCAAAAATTCAGTACCTCAGTCTCACCAGCCACAATTCAAGTGCTCAGCAGCCACATATGGCTAGTAGCTACCAGACTGGCACATGCAGATACAGAACATTTACATCTTCACAGAAGTTCTGTTGGGACAGCACCATGATAGAGTGATGGCGATAGGATGCTAATTAATATGGGGTGTTGAGGGAAAGCCTCTCTAAAAAGGAGACTTGTGAAGCGACCTGAGTAGAGTGTACGTGTAAGAGTGTGGGTGTAAGCTAAGTTGATAACTGAAGAAACTGAAGAAAGAGCTTCCAAACAAAAGAATATCATTTATTTGCGGAATTGTTGGACACATATCACTTAAGGTCCCTTTCAGCACTTAAATTTGGATTCAGAGTTCCAAGTTCTTTCAAAAAATGGCCTGAAGCTTTAGTTTTATTAGAATAAAGCATGGCACAAAATAAATAACTACAATTCCGTTTTCATTTTTCAGAAAGCAATACTTCCATGGGAAACCTATTCGCTACTTAAAAAGCACGGTGGCTCACGCCTCGAATTCCAGTACTTTGGGAGACCAAGGCAGGAGGACTGCTTGAGTCCAGGAGGTTGAGACCAGCCTGGGCAACATGGTGAAACCCCATCTCTAAAACACAATACAAAAAATTAGCCAGGAATGGTGGCCCACACCTATAGTCCCAGCTACTCAGGAGGCTGAGGAGGTGGGAGGATCACCCGAGTCCGGGAGGCTGAGGCTGCAGTGAGCTGTGATTGTGCCACCTCACCCCAGCCTGGATAACAGAGTGAGATCTTGTCTCAAAGCAAACAAACAAACAAACAAAACAAAAAACACAAAGCATTTACTGAAGTCCCACAATATTAGAAACAAGAGAGTATTTTTCTTTTAGCTCCTTCAGTAAATTTTCCTAAAGCCATGAGATCTAAAGGCTTTTGTCAAACACTTTCTTGAAAGTTAAATTCTCCCCTTCCCCAGTCTGCTATATGCCTCTCAATTTACTTACATAATTTACTCCCTTCGAACTGAAAAATCATGTTTTTTTTTTTAAATTGATACTTAAGCATTTTATATTAACCAGGTGAACTACCTTTCAAATAAAACACAGCCTGACTGCTGCTAAATCTGTAAAGCAATACACAAATTTGAAGCAAGAAGCTTACCGTTTCATATTTTAAATCCTAGGGCTCTCATGCATTCCTTGTGGGCCTCAATTAGATGTCCACAGTGTTCTTCTCCTTTCTCGATGATACTATAAAACAAAATGTACTTGTTATCTAAATAGGCATTAAGCATATTAAGTATGCATGACAGTGAAGGGGAGTGAGATAAAACATGTGTATAATGGAATGCAGCTGGAGTTAAAACAAATGCTATTACATCCAACAGCTTTGTTTTTATTTGATCTTATGATATTTCCATGCCTATGAAGACATTCCACAGAGAAGTAATCTTGGGGGAGAAATCTGATAAGAAATAATCACGCATATCAAATATTGCCTCTAGTCAATATCCACAGAATAACATTGCTTTATAAAGAAATAAACTGACTGAATAAAGAGAGTATTTATGCTAAATGAAGGGCAGAGAGAACAGCTCAATTTTTTTGATTATCATAGATAAATTAACTTTCTGATTCTGCCCTACATTCAAACACAACAAAATAAATCTACTTCTAATTACAAGACATCCAAAAACATAAACATCAAAAACCTCTGGTAACCAGGAAACCAAGATGAGACCCCTCTACTTGTAAAATTCACAAAATAAAGACTAGGACTACACAACTTTATTTCTAGGGCCTGAAAATGTTATTTAGCAAATAATCAAGTTAAGCCAAATTCAGTTACAAGTAAAAACTGACTCCTGGCTATGGACATTTGGGGAGAACCCACGTTGTCTGAGGCAACTGAGGCAAAAGAAATTTAAAGACGGGAATAGGTTCTCCTTCCATGGAAACTCTCTACCCATCTTTCAGTAGCTCAAGAGCTGCCTGCAAATGGGAGACTGGAATAGTGAGCTCCTTATGAAGACAATAGCCAGCATTCATTGTTCATTTATTGCTATATATACTGTGCTAGGCACTTGGGATGGCTTACATCATTAACCCTTACAATAATACCGGACACGGTTTCTTTTATTAGAGCCATTTTATAGACACGAGGCTCAAGGTCACCAAGTTAGTGGATCAAGATTCAAATCCCGACTGTGGGTCCCAGGCTCTTAATCATACTGCCATACTTTCAAGGTTCAATAGCACTTACTGTTAACACTGGAACAATTTGTTCAGACTGCAGTCTTTCAATTCTTCCTTCACAGTATTATTTACAAAGGACTGAGGATTAATAAAAGCACTGAGCTCCTACACTCTTATTATCTCATTATAGGACTTATGATTTCTTTCTTAAATCTACTACTTTGGAAGACAAAAGGGGCTGGAGGAAGAGATGCACATTCAGGTTATGAGACGACGTCCTCCAATGAGGTTAAAAATTGAGCTGTTCTCTGTACCCTTCATTTAGCATAAAGATATTATTCAGCCAGTTTATTTCTTTATAGAGCAATGTTATTCCTTGGATATTGACCACAATGAGATATAAAACAAGAACAAACCTTTTGTGGATTGCCAATCTAGATAACTATTCTCAGTACTATGTCCCCTGCGCCGTAGACTGGTTTATTTTCAACTTTTAGTTACCTTAAAAGGGCTTAAGATCTCTTCAGAACTGTAACGAATGTGCCCTGTGTCCTACTGTCTCTAAATTTTGGGAGAAAGCCTTAGAAATTACCAGAAAACCTTTCCTGTTTGGTCTTAACAAATCTTCTATCATAGCCCTGACCACGTGGCACATAAGTCATTGGTGTTATGTCTCCATTAATTAAGCTCCTTTATATCAGAATCTAACTTTATCCACAGACATTTTCGGACCTAACGCAGTGCTTAACCCATAAGAGATACTCAAAAAACATTTGTAGGACGGAAAGAATGGTTGAAACTAGCCGTTCTCCTCTCTCTTCATCGTTTCTAGGAACTAAGCTATGGGATAAATCAACAGAAAGCCGATCAAGAAACCTACAGGGCCCAGTAATTATCTCCAGAGCGCCGCAATGAAAGTGGGGAGGAGGAGGGCAGAGGGCAGAGGGCAGAGGGCGGAGGGCAGAGGGCAGAGGCACAGGAAGGCAAGGGGCCGCGGCCCGGGGCTCGTCGGCCGTGCCCTCTCCCGCTGCGCACTGACCACGCATCGCGCGCCTTCTTGGTCTCCGGGCAGGCGCAGCAGGGCTTCAGCGGTTTCTTCTCCTGAGACTCAGGCGGGGCAGGATTTGAGTCGACCAGACCGGGCATCTTTCGCGCCAAAAGCAGCTACGAGCGCAGATAGCCAAACCTATACCAGCCTCTGTTAACGCCGATTCGTCGCAGGCACTTCCGGCAGTCGTTCTAAAAACGACAGGAAGTCCTGCCTCTCTCTGACAGGTGGGGATTTACAAAAAGCGCTTGCGCAGAAGAGGCAAAATTAGGGCCTTAACGCGATCGTGCCTCTTCAGCGCATGCGCAAGAAGGCCCGCTGAAAGGTCACCTGGACTGCGGTATTTACATTCCGGAACGCAAGGTCACAGACTATTTGCTAAATCAACTTGGGGACGGCTCATGAAGAATGAAAGCAGCAAGACAACAGAAAGGTCTCGTAACACCCCCTCCTCCCCTCCCAATATCGAAACGGAAGCCCAAGATGGTGAAACGATTTCTTCAAGCCAAACAGTAGAAACCGCAAGTGAAAGCCAGTCCCCTTGAATAACAGACTAGTGCTCCCTTTTTCATCCTGGGGTATTATCTGCCTTCTTCCTGATCCCACACATTGCAGGTCCTTCCTGTCTTTTTTTGACCTATTTAAAAATGAATAGCAAAGACATTAGAACCACCCAATCCACAACTGTTGGGGAAATTTAAAAGGTCCTCTAACCCTCTATACACCTCTTATGCACAGGAAATCCTCAGCTAACTTGCGTTTATAGCCCCCCTCCAACTGATTTGAGTTCCGTATGAATTATTCAGTCATACTCGTTAATATACTAATGAATAAAACTGAAAAATACCTTTCCATAGCATTTCCTCAGGTACATAGGTAAACTGGTGCCCATCTTATTTGCAACAAAATTAATATAATCATTTGATTTTTTTCCTGCAGAGAATTGTTGGAAACAGGCAATAAACTTTTTTTTTTTTTTTTTTTTTGGAGACAGGGTCTTGCTCTGTCGCTCAGGCTAGAGGCTAGAGAGCAGTGGCACCATCTTGGCCCACTGCAACCTCCACCTCCTTCATTCCAGCCATTCTCCTGCCTCAGCCTCCCGGGTAGCTGAGATTACAAGGTGCGCGCCATCCGCCCGGTTCATTTTTGCATTTTTTTAGTAGAGTTGGGGTGGGGTTTCGCCATGTTGGCCAGGCTGGTCTCAAACTCTTGACCTCAATTGATCAGCCCAGCTCCGCCTCCCAAAGTACTGGGATTACAGGCGTGAGCCACCGCGCCCAGCCAATAAACTCATTTTTTACAGCAGGACTTGGAGGCATTGTTCAATAGCTGCCTGGTGATGGGTATTTTTAGGTACTTAAACATGCAGTATCACTTCATCAAAGTTTGTTTCTATATCATAGATATTTCGTTCAGGGAATCTACAGGTGTATTTGTGAACTGGTGCTTTACAGGAGTAATTTCTACATGTGTATTTTTCAAGTTACTAAGACCATCCCCATTTTGTCATCTGAAACTTTCAATAAGCATAATTTTTATCTCTTTCTGGATTGATATGTTTAATAATACAACATATGAGACAAAATGGACTTTCAGAATGCTGTGACTGACAGAGAAGTTGAGTTCTTCATTCTGGGCTTTCCATGTGAAGGGAATTAGGAATTTTACACTCAGGATCACACTTGGAAGAACACTGTGTATTTTGCAACTTCTTCAGGGTTGTTTTATTTGACATCTTATTGCCTACTAGTGAGAGCAGTTAACTCGACATTAAAAGCCAGTATGTGTGTATTCAGGGTCAACCAGAATGCCTTTCTCAGCCCTGAGAATCCCTGGAGATAGAAATTCTTTTTCTAGTGACCAAACTAAGGAAAACAAGAATTTATTCATCTTGTTACTGAACGTTTGTATCCTTTGACCAGCATGTCTCCATTTCGGACACCCCTCAACCCCTGGCACTCCCAGTGTACCTCCTGCTTCTATGGAATTTCACTCTTGTCATCCAGGCTGGAGTGCAGTGGTGCTATCTCAGCTCACTTCAACTTCTCCCTCCTGGGTTGAAGTGATTCTCCTGCCTCAGCCTCCTGAGTAGCTGGGACTACAGGCATGTGCCACCACGCCCGGGTCCCCTGTGAACCTTTTCAATTCTGCTGGATGCTTCCTCCCACTGACCCTCCAATACATGTGCACACACCTGCCCCCTTGCCTGAGATAGAGTCTTGCTATGTTGTCCAGGCCCATTCTTCCATTCTTGAACTCTGGCTCTTGGCTTTAAGTGATCTTCCTATCTTGGCCTCCCAAACACTGAGATTACAGATGTAAGCACCCAGCTTGAATTAGTTTAAAGAAAAATATATATGTCTTTTTGGGTCCAAATATTGATTTAATTTATTTTATTAATATATAAAATATATACAAACATAAAAAAAAATACAACATATTACCCTCATGTTCTAAATTCACCCTCATCCATTATTATCAATTCTTTCAACTAGGTGCTAACTCGCATTTTTCAGAATCTTGCTAATCAAACAGTGCTTCCTGAATGAGCAATATAATCATCACTTGTAAATTTAATTACAATAAAATGTGGTTCGACAAATCAATGGGGAAAAGAAAATAGGCTAACCACCTGGAGAAAATTAAACACTACCTTAAAAGGAAGAGCTCCAGATGCATTAAAGACCTACATGGGAAAGGTTGAAATATGAAATTAATAGCAAATTGTGGAGGAGAATATTTTAATACTGAGGGATGGGGAATAACTTATGTTACAACATTTCAAAAGTAAAAATTGTACATAAAAAAACTGAAGAAATTAATGACACCAAAATAAAGGCTTGGGGTTGTACATACAATACTATAAAGTTAACAAATAAATGGCAAAATTGGGAGAAAATATTTGAAATCTAAATATTTTAAAATATTTTTTCTTGCCAGGCGCGGTGGCTCATGCCTGTAATCCTAGCACTTTGGGAGGCCGAGATGGGTGGATCACCTGAGGTCAGGAGTTCAAGACCAGCCCGGCCATCATGGTGAAACCCCATCTTTAAAAAAAATAAAATAAATAAATAAATAAATAAATAATAAATTTCTTTCTTTCTTTCTTTCTTTTCTTTTCTTTTTTTTTTTTGAGATGCAGTTTTGCTCTTGTTGCCCAGGCTGAAGTGCAATGGTGCAATCTCAGCTCACTGCAACCTCCACTTCCTGTATTAAAGCGATTCTCCTGCCTCAGCCTCCCAAGTAGCTGGGATTAGAAGCATGTGCCACCATGCCTCGCTCATTTTGTGTTTTTAGTAGGGACGGGGTTTCTCCATGTTGGTCAGGCTGGTATCGAACTCCCACCCCCAGGTGATCCATCCACCTTGGCCTCCCAAAGTGCTGGGATTACAGGTGTGAGCCTCCTCACGCCGCCTAAAATATTTTAAAAGTTAAAAAAACTGATATGTTCACTTAGAATGTGTATTCAGTTGAAACAATGTAACCTTTAGCCACAGTATCTTCCATATATGTAGGGCTGTTCAGTTTGTGAACCATCATTTAATTCTCATGGCAGTCGAAATTATTATCTACATTTATAGATGGGAAAAAATTGAAGTTCAGAGGTGCACATGATTTGTCCAAGCCTGCGTAACCTGAAAGTGGTAGTCCTGAGCCTCATCGTCTTCTCCCTGTATTCTGTCTACTATCCTACTTAATTTATCTAAATGCAAAAGAAGGCCGGATGCAGTGGCTCACACCTGTAATCCCAGCGCTTTGAGAGGCTGAGGCGGGCAGATCACTTGAGGTCAGAAGTTTGAGACCAGCCTGGCCAACACAGTGAAAACCCTGATCTATTAAAAATACAAAAATTGGCCAGGAGCAGTAGTGCACACCTGTAACTCCAGCTACTTGGGAGGATGAGGCATGAGAATCACCTGAACCCAGGAGATGGAGATTGCAGTGAGCCAAGATCATGTCACTGTACTCCAGCCTGTGTGATGTAGGGAGACTGTCTCAACAAATTAATTAATTAATGCAAAGCAAATACTTCTTATTTTAAAAGTAATCATTGATCTGTATTCAATTGTGCTATTGCATTTTTTTTTTTTTTGAGGCGGAGTTTCGCTCTTGTTACCCAGGCTGGAGTGCAATGGCGCGATCTCGGCTCACCGCAACCTCCGTCTCCTGGGTTCAGGCAATTCTCCTTCTTCAGCCTCCTGAGTAGCTGGGATTACAGGCATGTGCCACCATGCCCAGCTCATTTTTTGGATTTTTAGTAGAAACGGGGTTTCACCATGTTGACCAGGATGGTCCCGATCTCTTGACCTCGTGATCCACCCGCCTCGGCCTCCCAAAGTGCTGGGATTACAGGCTTGAGCCAGCGCGCCCGGCCAGCTATTGCATTTTTATGTATAGAAAATGAACAAGGAAGAAAAGAAAGATAGACTCTGACAGAGTCTAGGGGGTTAAGAGAATTGAGATAAACAGTAGAAACAGATTACAGACCAAAAGACTAAAACAGCTTTTCTGCAACTGAGAAGATTTTTTTTACCCACTGTCCCTCCCTGCTTCAGGGAAGAAAGGGTACCAGCTGTGATGAGGCTGCTTGTGACCTTCAGGTTAGCTAATACTGGTAAGACTCAGGCAAAGAAGTTGAGTAGCAGCCCTTTCTGCACCACACTTCTTTAACCTGCTGTGTTCCAGACATTTACAAACCTTTTCCTTACTGAGTGTTGTAACACTTACACTCTTTCAACAACTGCTTCTTCAGCATAAAATATTCTCCTGACTTTGAAAAAAGAAAGGAGTGAAATATTTAGTCATTTGTACCTAGCTACTAAACTGTCCTCTTTTATTTCAGAATGGTACAGCTAACCCACATATGTGGGGTACTTTTCCTTCTACCTTTTAATTTATATGAAATAAGGTGGTTTGCGCTGGCTCATACCTGTAATCCCAATTCTTTGGGAGGCTGAAGCGGGCAGATCACTTAAGGTCAGGAGTTTGAGACCAGCCTGACCAACATGGTGAAACCCTGTTTCTACTAAAAATGCAAAAATTAGCCGGGTGTGGTGGCAGGCACTGGTAATCCTAGCTACTTGGGAGGCTGAGGAAGGAGAATCCCTTGAACTAGTGAGCCAAGATGGCACCACTGCCCTCCAGCCTGGGCAACAGAGTGAGACTTTGTCTCAGTAATAATAATAATAATAATAATAATAATAATAATTTTA